CGGAGCAATCTGGGGAGCTGGAAGCTGAGAACTGGCGACTTTGTAGTGCAACTTTAGTACAAGCGCCAAGCAGCATACATCCACCCGCACACTGATACACACTGACGAACAAGCACAGACACACAAACACACACCTCACGTACACACAGAGACCCTCATGCCTTATATCTGTCTCGCCTGTCTCTTCCCCATGCTCACTCTTCCGCACTTTACCCCTGCAGCCTCAATCTTTCGAAGTTGTTCACATGTGGGGTTATCCGGTCCTATAATTCCCAAAGCTCAGATTTGCTTGGGCGGCTAAAGATTGGTGGTTCACTTTGACTGGTATGTTTGGCTGATGATCCAAGTTTTGGGGGTGATGAACCTTTTGGACCGCGAAGCCTGGTCACTGGATCACAGCACTGTCGTTGGACTGGACCCATGTCTTTACGACGCAGGTCGTTGTTCCCCCAACTGGGCCAAGGGGCCCAAGAAATCGCCGACGGAGCCATGAGCTGCACAACATAAAGTCCTCGGTGGGTGGGGACTCAGACGATCAAGGATTGATCGAATTTGATAAGAATATATATATATGTATAATATATATATATATAATAATATATAATATATATATATAGTCGTGTAATGAACATAATATAACATAGTTATATTATATATATATATGTAACAACGCCACCAGCAACGGCTTGATCAGAGTTTGTATGCGATTCCGGCGATCCAATTGAACATTGTGATCAAGCATGATCAAGCTATATAGGGTGTAGCCACCAAAAAACGCCCATGTTTTCAGGAGAGCCGCTCGTGGGTCTATGATTCATTAGTTTCTCTGTTGAGATGTAGAAAAGATGTGTGACGTGTAATTATCGGATTACTTAGGTTCAGTGACTCTCAGTTCTTTTCAGACCGACAAACCAACGGACTGCCACTTTGCCTGCTTTCGCTTCACAGACCGCGCTTGCTTCACGACACAGGAGGCTGGATCCCGTCGACATGTGGACTTGCTATGGTGGCGACAGCATCAGGCGCCCCACCCGTGCACCGCGGTCGCCGAAAGCGGCCGCACGCCGCCCCACCGGTGCCGACATGACAATAATGGCCGCATTGCGAGACACGACCCGCAAGTACAGTTACATGGAGTTACGAAAGAAACAACTTCCAGGACCCTCCGACTCACCAATTGAGACCTGTTAGGGTCCAACAACCCTCAACTAACAGCCTGTTGGGTGCTGGTTTGTTGATCTTGGTTGGATACACAACAACATTCAGGACAGGGTGGACGGTTTGATTGGTGCAGCTGGGACATACTCGTGAACTTAACTTAATCTTGAAGGATCGCTTCCGGGCTTGAAGGAGCGCTCAAAGGCCCGGGAGGCTTGTGTCGGGTTGCGTCCGATGGCCACCAGCCAGCCATCCTTTTGTTTGATCAAGCGTTTTCTTTCACTAGACCATGTGCGCAGTAAATATTTCCGGGGCGGTGTGTGGTTGTCCATGTTTGTGGTAGAGCTCATACTTATGTCTTGATGCTTATTGAAGGCTGTCGCTATTAGGTCGGAGGCCATCGCTATTAGGTCGGAGGCCATCGCGATTAGGTTGGAAGCCATTGCTATTAGGTTGGAGGGTTGCAAGCTTCGACACTCTGCCACAGAGACAGACAGGTTGAAACCCAGAGACAGAGGATGCGAGAGGAAAAGGACGCACAAGAGGCTGGTGGACATTCATGACACTGGCTTCACACACCCAGCTGAGGTTGGGTTTCTTGATATTTCAGTAGGGAGACCTTCTGGCTCCATTGGTAGACTGGTCTATTTCCCGAACCTTCCAGGGGATCGGAACGCCTGGCAGTTCTCCCTATGTACACACCCTTTTGGACATGTTTTGTGGTTTTTAGAACCACATGTTGTGCCCAACTAAATGACAAGATAAAGCTAAGGATTTGTGTAGGTGGTCCGTGCCTGTTGAGTGAACTGAATCTGAGCTTTGTATTGAATTAATGTAGCAATCCAACATTTGTTTACACCTTGTTGTTTCTGGTATTTTCCTGCTTGCTTCAGTGGGTTGGCTAGCGAACTCAAGATGCAGCGGGGCCTACTTCTTGGGCAAAATGCCCGGGTGCCAGCTCGCTTGTGCGTCATTTCGGGAAACCGCACCACAAACCACATGGGAGGTGAGTCAGGCAGCGATGGGGTCCTTCGTGTCCAAACAGGGCGATCCATGAAACGACCAAAAAAGAAGGGGATCACGGTGGATAAGTCAGTGTGACCGTAGGGGGTGGTCCTTTGGAAAATGACATCGTATGCAGTCGGATCAAGCAACAACTTGAGAAATACCCACGAAGCTGAAGTCTCTGACTTGAAGTCGATCCAAGCTCCGCCCGGCTCCGCCCGCCTCAGGCGGAGCAGTGCCCCTTCGCGCCCTGCCTGGTGAATCGACGGACGCGCTCCGTGCATGGCGCGGAGCCTCCAGCTGAAAGGTCGGCATCGACGTATAATATAACCGGGTAGCGGTGGGTCGGAAGATGTTGTGCCAGGCAGTTTCAGTGTGCAGACTAGTAGCAATGGCCTCCAACCTACTAGCTTCTTGTTACTAGTAGCTTCTTGTGGTGCCATGGAGTTTCAGTGTGCAGTTGGTTCACAAATTTGGAGCCACCCCTGCCTGTGGGAAAAGAGTTGAAGATGTTGAAGAGGGCTGAGCGCATCAGAAGTGCGTCAGCATGTTGGTCAGGTTCGTAAGGGTTTACTATGGTTTACTCATCACTCAGGACTTTAGTCATGATCAGATGATATCGGGATATGGGAGTTGATCGAAAACCCCGTGTAAGGAGTTTTATATAAAACAGCCTTTCAGATGTTGTTAGAACCATCCGCGAAAGATTCGCGATGAGGTTCGCGAAAGTATCTTTTTTTTCCGCGAAAGATTTATCGAAGGTCATCGCTTTCATTGTTTTCCTTTCTACCGGACTGACAAAGAATAGAAATGCAAGGCAATCCTGCGGCAGAGCCAGCGGGCGGAAGTGTCCCCATATGTCACAGACTAACGAACTGAAGCCTCAACATTTCCGTGCCCAGCCCTGGCAGTGCGCAAAGGATTCTCCGATTCCTGTCCCCACTGTCACAGACTAGCAATCTGGGTAGGCACAGCCCTGACAGTGAGGCAACGACCTGCAGCTGCTCTGACGGGCTGTGCAGATGTTTGCAAATTTTACGGCTTCCCGGGGTGAAATTTCGCGAAAGATCCGCGAAAGCTTCGCGAATGTGCCGCTAAAGTCTAGGTTCCCAGCGTGAGGCCCCCCAACATTCCCCAAGCTGCATCGCCCTGTGTTGGTAGCTGACACGAAGATTGGGTTGAGTTGTGCCTGACTCTATTTGGCACAATTGTCGCACAGATGCTGCAAGTGACCCTGAGTAGCTGTGGAAACGTTCAACCATCTACTGGGGTCATGCTGCAAGATGTCTCTCCCTATTTTGTGATACTATGGCATGTTCCGGCTCATGTTAGCTAGACAGGGTTGTAGGACCATGCTTCGCGATGAGGCCGCGAAAGATCCACGAAAGATATCTTTTTTTCCGCGATGAATGGCCATTCCAGGATGAAAGAATATTGATCAACCACCATATATCGGGTGGGTATTGCATAAAAATGCTTCAGAGTCATCTCTTTGTGCCTCGGGAGTTGTTTTAACCAAACTGCCTGTTGCCGGATGCCGTGGTATGGTTCGCGACCAGCGAATGGAATAACCAATTCCATGAAAGATCTCGAAATCCAAGCTCTCGATTCCATGAAAGATCCATTATACAAGTTCTTATGCATTTGTAGCTACTATCTATACAGTATATGATGATATATGATGTAATATAATATATAGCCTATAGCTTAATTATATGATACATGACCAGCGGCAGGCGGCCACACGAGTCGCCTTCGACCCCAGGTGGCCTTCGGCTCTATGAGCAAGCGACGGCTCGACAAATGAGTCGCGAGGAGAGACGAGTAATGACCGACTCAACATCAACGATCGAGCCGATGATGAAAGTGCAGATTGGGAGCCTGGCTCCGTATTACCTAATCTAGGTGATGCATTTTGCCGGGTTGAAAGTGCCAACCTAGGGTTGTTTGTGATGTTTTTGTGCTAGATTTTGTCGAAGTCTGGACAGCTGCAGATGCATGTTTTGAGAATTCAAAGAGCAGACCCAGTTGTTGGAAAGATGGCGAACTCCATGCTGGGTGTGACTACTCCTCCTGGCAGCACCAACTACCAACTGAAGACTCCGCAAACTTGTCTACAACTTCGATACCACTGTGCAGCACGTGACTTTCATTTTTTGCGGTTGGATTGGAGGTTGTCCTGGTTCCTCCAAGAGGATTCAATTGAGTTGTTTGCTCTCAAAAATTCTCAAACACAGAAACGTCCAGTACTATGAATCGTTGATGAATTAAACAAACACATACACTTATATAACACATGACATACACGTGTTCAAAGCGTCTGAACAGCGTCTGAACAGCTTTGGATCTTCTGTCCAGCAGGAGACCTGGACAGCTCAAGCGCAGCAGCGGCAAGAGCGGGAGATGGCTGTGGGGAGGCTCAAGAAGCCTCGTTGGACCGGGTCCGATCATCCCGGACTCATCCGGGCTACGGCGAACAGCGCCCATCGCCTCGGACGTGCTGCCGTTGGACGAGCCTGGGGCCGTTGGACTAGACGGGAGGACGGAGATCTGCAGTGGTTTGTGATGGTTTGTGTCGTTGTGGTGGATCTCTCAGAAACTCGCACCCTCCACTTACGGGGTCAAGGTTTAAGGATGGGCAGCCATTCATGTAAGATGACCCCGGCTTGCTGTTTCATGTATATACAGAGTTTTGCTATTGCAGCTGTATTGAATCAAGCGATTTGTCCTTGGCAGTGGAACAAATTTCTGGCCTATCAGCAGACAGACATCAAGAGATGTCGAAACTCTTCAGTGGTAGTTTGCTTCAATCTTCAAAAAGCCTCACTGTCGAGATAGTTGTTCATTTCTTCTCAGGTTGGCCAGTAGCAATGACATTCGGAACAGATTCGTCCACGTCACAGTCGGACTCTGCGGTTCTCGAATGTCGGACTTTATTCTACGGCGGCCACCTGAAGTCCTAGAAGGAGTGGCTGAGAAGCTCTTCGGTGAGCATTGGAGGAGAACTTCCATATATATGGGTGTGCTTCTAATAGGAAGACCCCCCCAACCCAACCAATGGGTTTTGGTCTTTGGTCTCCGTATTTTGGTCTACTAACCCATATATTTGATACGGAACGCCACAGATTTGGCGATTCAGGTGACACATGCTCCCAAGGGCTTCTTCGCTGCGGCGAGCGACACATGCTTCGTGACGCTGCCCTCACGAATGGCCCCTGTAGGTGTCGTGAATGGCTGCTGTATGTGTGGTGCGTTGGTGGTGTTACCCTTGATCTCAACCTGTCCCCTTCATAGTGTTGTATACGCACCACCCATGGTAATGTAGGCAGAGGTAGACTATGGTAGACTCTAGATTGATAGAAGACCCACAGGAAGAGGTCTTACAATCCAAATAGGGGGGCTTACTCATTCTTTCCAATCCTGAGGAGCACGTTGGAGTGGCCTTTTTGGCTTGGGCGCCATTTTGGCCATCCATAGCCATCCCACCACACCCCATGTGGTCTGAGGTTCAAGAGCGCCAAGGGCCATGACGGTTGGGTTCAGGATGCAGCAGCCAACTACATCTTTGGTCCTTCGGCCCGGTTGGTGAATTGGATCTGAGTCACAGGTGGTGGTGTATGGCGCCGAGATGACCCCGCAGGTCTGAAGAGACCTGCCACACGGACTGACCTGCGATGTTGCCGAAGATTCATCTCCACCGAAAGTATCAGGAAGGTAGATCCACGTAGATCCAGCACTTGTTTGTTGATGCTCGTTGCCAACGGTCGAGTCTGTGTGTTTAACAACTTAAGATCAACTAACTGCCCTTTGTGTTCAAATATTGAGCCATAATTCTTTTAGAGGCACTGATGTTGTCCTCAAAAAAGAAACAAACAGTTTCCTACGGGCTAGTGCAGCAAATCTACACTTTGCGCGCTTAATTTGTACTTCGATACCCTCAAATATTGTCAAGCTCCTCTAATGACTGACTTAGCTGCTTGGGACCAAAATACATCCATCACAAAGATACTCAGTTCAATTCAGCATTTGAAATTCTTGTAGTGTGGCTTCTTGGACCATTGGACTGTCTCTCGCATATATCCTTCGTTTCAGCTGGATCTCAAATTGCAAGCATCTCCATAGTCTAATCTCCGTCCTGATGTTTAAAAACCATTCCCAAAGGCGGTTTTGGCCATCACAACCAGGGTTTTTGGACCGAACCAACATGTAGCAGTTGGTTCGGGTCCAGGGTCGCCTCTGGGTTCTATAATCAATTCTAAGCTATTAATGAAGCAGTCTTGACCACACTTTTTAGACCGAGGCGTCCATCATGTCCAAATACGATCCATATAAATTAGCTGGACAAAAACAAGGCAGCCGGCGGGTGTTTCCCTCCAGTCTTTCTCATGCAAAGAATCAAGCTATCGAGCTTGGACAGCGTCACGTGCTTTGAAAGGGTCAACGCAACCACTGTACTCAGTTATAAAACTATGACATTCTCGGTAGTTTCTGCCTGCAATTCACTTGCAGAGTGTTTCTGTTTATGCGTGTGCAAATCCAACAACCACATATTAAAACAGCTTGCAAAGCAAATTTGTACGACAATTATATATATATATATTATATATGTATTATATACATACACAATAATATTGGACGAATGTGAGTGACCAGATGCAATGTTTCAGAGAATTGTCCATTTAGATCTAATTTGCCGTTGCGGACCTTGTCTTTTGGTTTATAACATTTTATAGCAGGTGGTTTATCCTTTGCTGTGGCATTGAGATCCCGATGTTTTGGTCAATATTTCGCTGGAAGCCCCCAAAGGAACCCTCAAACATAAACATGTAGCGAGGCGTGCCAGATCCGTGGGTTGTCAGTGGAGACTTTTTTGCATGACCATCCAGCGTCCAGTAGCAAGGCTTGATCATTGAATCATTGACTCGACCCTCCAATCCGCTCAATAACGGGAACCCTGGTCTTTCACTACCAAAGTCGTGGGCGCCGCAGGCGACTTTGGCTCGGGGCTTCAAGCAGCAGAGGCCATGATGGGCTCTGGCTGCTGGGCGCTGAAGATCCCGTTGATGGAGAATCACGAGAACCGTAGTTCCCCTCCCAAAGTTTCCGCGACATGGGAACTCCTGCAGTTCACGCAGGATCATACGCAGGATCGGAGGGTTCGCGCAGGCTGTTTTCTAGGTCCATGGCTGGGGCCAGCATTCTAGGATATTCTCGGTGCAGGTTCCGCCAATGGCTCCAGCAAGATGGGTTCAACTGGCATACCTCTGGAGGATGTGACCCTTAAACTGCGGAACCCTCCAAGCTCGCAGGGTCGAGGACACCCCAAAAGCGTCCGAGTCGTTTGCCCAGTTCTGCCGAGTCGTTTGCGTCGTTGTGAGCGTCGAGGCAGACTCCGAGTGCTGGATGCTGGTTGTGGCTGTGGCGGTCAGTTGTTGGACCGAGCCGTGGGCGTCGGGGCGTGGAGCGCCGCGGCGTTCAGAGCGTCGGCAAGGTGTTGGGGTGTTGCAACCGACGGGAAGCCGAGGACGACACCGAGGTCGAAAACACGCGCATCATGTTTCTCCACCGTTTGAAAGAGGAGGCAACTTCGTTTTCGTGCAGAAAGGATCTGAAAGGAGTGGTTTCATATGGATTCTGATGGAGAGTATGATGTGGCACAGCGATCCACTTCAACTAAAACGCATCACTGAGCCAGGGATTTTTTGTGAAGGCCCCCAGAATCAAACCATATCCAAGCAAAGGAAAAGGAAAAGATGATGCCCCCGCAATGCCGGTGGAGGTTGAGACATTCGACGAAGCGATGTAAAAACACTCGTTTTAACATGTTTGAAAGGCCATAGAAGCACATATAGAAGCCTCATTATAGGGTTGTTGCAAATAGTCTGCAGAGCCGCCAGCAGGAGCAGGTACAGCATGCCACAAAATCCCTTCGTCCCTTCATTGACCTGGATCCTCATCCAAAGAGTCAAGAAGGAGCCCAAAGGGGTGAAGGTTTTGCCCTTGCTCCGTCCGTAGCGATGCCCTTAGTTATACTAGTAACTATAGTAGCTTCTTGCTACGTTCGTAGCGGCCACCAGCGCTCCATTCGTCGCCCACGCCCACCGCATGGGCGTCCGGGGTCCGCATCGCCCGCGAGGTCGGCCCACCGGAACGGCGTGGCGTTCCGGTCGCAGGAGCTGGCGCACCTGGCTGAAGCGCGGCACAGTCCTGCGCTCCTTCGGGGCCTCACCGCGGAGCAGATCCAGCACCGCTGTGCCGTGAAGCTCCAACCACGCGTGGCGTGGTGAAAGAGCCGTTGAACGGTGTGGTTCGATGCGGAGGATGGTGAGATGATGTGATATGTGGTCATAGGTGTGTCAGGTATAGTGTGTGTCAGCGTGTGTCAGGTATAGCACACCCTCTTCCCCCACACATGTCACAACTATCCTGTATATGAGTTGATTTGGGATGCAGCTAGGCCCATCCCTCCTAGCAAGTGATACAGGAGAACTCTTCTTTGGGGAGTAGGAGTAAAAGCGTGCTGTTTTCCAGCCAAGCGGCCAAGGTCATATCGTTTCCTGGAGGTTGCAAGAACGAAGTCGCAGATGCTGATCTCATTGATTTGCTCATCTACCAGGGCTTTCCACTGGAGGATATAACATTGGCAGATGTAGATTTTGTGAAGGAAGGCCAGTTGTTTGATCTCATTTTGTGCTCCTGGACGCTTTTCCATCTTTGCGATCCCTTGGGAACTCTTTTGCAGCTTCGGCAGTTCTTGGACCGAGAGGGGGTGATGCTGGTGAATGGCGCATATCTCCATTTCGAGCTTCCAAGTCCGCCCCAAAACCCTGAGCCCATGGACTTGTTTCGACGCTTTTGCGAAGAGCTGAGAAGCTACGGAGTGGAGACCTGTGTGACGGGAGGACCCATCAGGTGGCTTCAGGGTGAGGGTGAGGATGGAGACTACGTGGGTGGAGTCCTGTCAGTGCTATGGATAACATCTCTTGTATAAAAGGTGGTTTATGGACCCTCCATGACATGCCCTGACTATATGATACTATATGATACTATATGTATGTTCCATCCAATAATCAATCCTATTCCATCCTTTTGGCGGTGCTGGTTATTAGTTTGTTGTTGTTTCTTCTTGACTTTTTGGTCTTTGGTACCCCCAACATGGTGTTGTTTGTCCTTTTGTTGACCCTCCATCCAAGGATATGAGATTAGCATGCAATGGCTGGGGAATGAGAAGAGAGTCTCCGAGATTGAGAGGAGGGTCTTTGAGATTTGTGGATTCTCCAGCCAAGCCGTGCTGGACAAGGTGTGGTGTTTGGCTTCTGGGCCCCAATACTGCGTGAGCTCTTACGAACTACGACTTTGAGAAGCAAGAGGCATGGAGGTGAAAGCTAGGCCTGCCCACCTCCGCCGCCAGACAAACTGTCTTCGACACTGCAAGAGTTTCCTTTGCCGTGTTACCTTTAATGATGCAGTACGTGTAGCACCATCCTGCAAAGGCGACCTCCAGCACCAAAACTAGCACTGATGAGATCCTGTTATCCTACAAACCAGCCGGTGCAATTGGCATCACCATTTTCGTCCATTTCTGGCGGCTGCTTGGCACAAGCTCCCACTCAAACACGTCCGTTCCATTTGCCGAGTGTCGCCCATCCCTGCAGTCGGCGAGCGCAAACCAAAAAAAGGCTCCGTGGAGCCACAGGTCAGCGTGCAGCGTGATATCGTGCAGTCTGATCAGTCTGGCAGTCGGGAAAAGTGGAACTGGCAGTTTCACTGGCGTCATCTGGCTTCAATTCAAGGCCAGAGAGCCTTCCCGCACACAAGCCCACAGACAGAGACCACATGTTTGCTCAACAGAGCAATATTACTTTATATATATATATGTTATATATACAATTATTAACAAATTTGATCAATACTACGAATCCATCACTTTGAACCAGTTCGAACCTCCATCTCTCCACTGAACGTTCGACGTGAGGAGCTCGGCTTTAAAACAGAACAAACCCGCGTCGGTCCGTGTCGGTCCGCGTCGTTTGCGTCGACTTCGCCCTGGTCCGATTCAGGACTGCACCTTCCACCCGAACGTGACGAAGAGCGACAAGAGGCCACGACGGCGCTGGTTTCAGCGAAGATGGATCATCGTTGTCGCCAACGACCGGAAGACCCGACTCTCTACAGGGCTTTCTTCTTTGGTGGCGCTGAAATGGAGACTTACAAGTAGCAGGTGGTGACCTGTTGGAGGGGTTGATGGTATGTCGATGTATGATGATGTAGCTATGCAAAATGCATTTGTTTGCACATGGTTTATTGCGGTTTTAGGCTTGAAGAAACAGTGCCATGACGTGCTTCCAGCCCCCAAGCACTCCGGGGCAAGAGACCTCACAAACCATTCGAATCGCAGGGTGCCCCGGTTACTGGCGTCCGTCGGTGTTTCGAATCGCAGCACCTTCCAAGAGGTGTGTTGTCTTTCTCCATCTTCAATGGACTACTTTATTCTGAGCTTCCATGGGACACCTATTGGATGTTTGCAGGTTTTTTTTGGTGTAATTAATACCAAGATATACAAGCTATAGCTTATAAGTATATATTAAAGTTCATGATCGAAGGTACATCTATACTGTAATTCGTGGACCCCTCACTCATTAAACCTCATTCAGAACGGATGATCCGTTCGGCGCCCAGCTTCCACAGCTCCAAGTCCTTCACGTCCCCTGCGTCACCCCGCGGGAGCTTCGGCGGCAGAGAGTGGGAGACCGACGACAACTGAGTAGTTGACCAGGTGAGGGAGGAATGTTTTGGGATTCCCTCTGGCACTCTGGCATAGTATGGTTGTAAAAACGCCAGCTCAGACAGCCGTTTGTCCAACATTTGCCAGCCTTTTGGGGAATTGGTTCTTTGAATGCTAGAGTTTCTTCAGAAGCAGTTCCAACTTGGAACTGTTCCACTTGGACACTTGCAACACCTTGCGACCCCCTTGCTTGCACAACACGAAGGACATCGGAGATCAAGACATCGGACCCTTGGAAGTCGGATAAGAGAGACCAAGGTGATTTGGAACCTTTTTACAGGATTTTACATGTAAACAAGTGCAGTTCTGGTGAGGAAAAACGACAAATATCAAGGCAATGGTGATTGGAAGGCTATCAACCATCCGAACTGGGTCGTGGTAGTCTGTTTTGTTTGCTGATTATACTTATATAATCTTATATACTGTATTATTACATTATAATATAAGTTTTGATTTGCGGCTGGTGTATGGCCATGCAGCAATGCCCTCTTTTGCACTGGGCCATCACGTGGCCCTGGCCCCGCTTTGTTGTATGTTGAACGGTTTTTCTCGGGCCGGTCCACAGAACAAACAAAAAACATCAAAAAACACCTGGTTGTTGCGTAGCACGTATTATACTATATATCATTTTGCCTCCCAAAGAGGTATCTCGCAGCAGAACAGCGTGTTTACAATAGCCCTGTGGCCTGTGGTCCCATTTTTCTGTCACCAATTAAGAAGACAAACTGATTGAAAGTGAAGCTAAGGGCCGATGCATGCGCCCAGCGGATGCGAAAGGCCTTTGCTGAAAAGGATTGGAGGCCTGGCAGGGGTTGATGACACCATGATGACAGTAGTTTCCCTAAGAATCTAGGAACCAAATCATCTAGGGCGGTGGGGGAGCTTCCTTGAAGCAGCATCAGCTATCCTGCATCCAGTTCATAGTAGCGTCCTAGTAGCTACTGATAGGAGCGGAGTGCATAGCCCCTAGTAGCGTGAGCTACCTGTGGAAAGCGGTTGCAGCGCCCGTTCCACATGGGATCTCTGACCGAGTGGGAGTTCTTCCTGCGCTGCTCATTTTCCAGCGGTGGCTGGCGGTGGGTTGAAGGAGCATATGAGCTATAACACTTCCTTCCTGGCTGTGAGTTGGCTGTTTTGTTTCATCAGCACGGGTGGACCTTTGAGCTTGACACCCAACTTGCAGCTTACTATCACATCTATATAACTGCTACAAGAGGCATGCGGCATGCGCTTTTGTTATTGTCAAAGTGCGACCAAGTTGCCACCTTTCTCCTGGCAACTTCAGACACACTGACAAAATCTGATGGGCCGTACTCGGCCGGGCGCACCAATCTTCTGGGGCGACTCTCCCTGGTTTGACTGTTTGATTCACATTGCAAAGCTGTTTGCGCTAATGGTGACGAACCCTGGAACAGTGGAAGGGACCTTTGCTCTAGTTCGCCCTCATCTTTCTTGGGGAACCCATCAGGCACTGTACACGTTGTACCGTGCCTGGTACAACACCAGTGACGTCTCACTCGTGAATCCTGGTTGGCGTGGTATTATATTAGTGTGTATATATAATATTGTAAAGTAAGGGGCTCAAGAGGAAAGACTTCCCGACCTGCAAGATTCCTTCCTTTTGCTTGACAGGCGCCGCTTCCTGGAAGAGCGAGCTCCCAGCGCAGGCGGCGCGGGCTTTTGCGGGGAGGTGTTCGGAAAGAGGTTCATCCGCCCGAAGCCCCTGGCGGAAGAAGTCAGAGTCCCCTGAGCCTGAATGCTGGAATTTCCTCACTTGTTTGCTTGCTTTAGGGCCCTTATTTGGGGGGGGTTCTGTGATGTTCTGAGTGTTTCTCATGGGGCATCTCTTAAAAAGATGTGTGTTTCCCTTGGATTGGCCACGACAACAGAGTGTACAGACGCCAAGGGCACATTGTCTATTTGTGCGCTGCTACGCTCATCCTTTGATCTTCCATCCATGTGGCAACATCGTCCTTGGGGTGATTGCGAGGGTCGTCGTCCCGGGGGTGAGCAGCATCAATGCAGAATCGAAACCCATGGTTTTGGAGCTTCAAGCTTGAGTGCATAGTGATGCCAGATGAATCTACCCAAAGAAGAACCAATCATATCTAAGCATGGTTGATGAATGAATGTTATGGGTCCAAGTGGGAATTTCAACGAACGGCTTTGACTTGGGAGTGTTTACCCCGACGAGCTTGCCGTTGCAAAGCCGTGACCTGGGATCAGTGATTGGAAAGTACTGATCCATGACAATTCTTCATGGATTCAACTGGATCAAATGGCATACAGTTGGAATGTTTTCATTCTTTCAAACCTTCGTGTTGCTGCGTTAAGTTTCATTGGTTCTTTGATAAAACATGAGAAAACTGTGCATATTATAATGTGTATATATTTGGATTGCTTTGTTCTTTTCTAAATACCTCTTCGAACCGCTTTCGCTTTCTCAAGCCTTGTCCACCAAGTCTCCGCCGGCACCTCCGCCGGCGCCACAAGCTCCACCTTCTTGCGAAGCTCGGAGGCGAGGGGGGCCGCCCGAGCTCGATCAGCTAAGTTTAAGCACCCCACCCAGTGATGCTGAACCTTTGGATCAGTGGGGCAAAGAAATCCACTGATTTCTATTGTTGTTTGGACCCTACATATATATATATATATAGGGCGCAACCTGTACAAGTTCCGGAATCGGGGATTCTAGGGAAGTGTTGGGGAAGTGAGGCCTAGAATTATGGTCTTGTTGTCCTGGATTTGTTCACAAGATAGTGAGGGATTGGTCGTGGACACTGGGCTAACGGCTAACTATGTTCGCTCGATGAATAGCTGTATAGTTAAATAGATATTGCCCCAGTATTGAAGTGCTGATCTGGCTAATGTTTAGACTCAATTCTGGGATACATGTTATTCATCATAAGGATCTGTGATGAACTACCCTTGCTTATCTCGGTGCAACCCGTTGATTGCTGTGCAATGCGCACCCTTGAATTGCCTACCTCAACGTGACTGCGAATCCAAGATGTTGTCAATATACTGTAGACTGTTGACGACGGTTGATTGTATTTAATAAGATCCACTATATGAAAAAGTTTTACAATCCAAATCGATTGTTGTATTAATCAACAGTCTACATTACATGAAGCAACATGAAGCAACTAACAAGGCGCATGCCTCCGATCTGGTGGCCAGTGGCGACTGGCATGCTGGTTCTTGGCCACCACTTGGAGCTCTTTCGGTTGTGGACTGTGTTTGTTGCTGATTCACAACCCGCCACAGAGCACCCAGGGAAACCCAACCTTAGACAAGGACTTCCCCAGCGAACGACTACGCCTATCCTTGTGCTGTGATTCTCAAAAGCTTTAGGACACTTTGAAACGGATGAAGATGCCTGGCAAACACGCACAGCAGCAAGAGTAGACTCATACACCATCACACACCCACACACTGCCACACATAAAATATATTGAAAATTATTGAAATACAATGATATATATATATATATATATCGTACATATAACATATTATATATACATATCATGGATAGATATTGAGACTGGAACACATCTTAAAATAACACTGTTCCAGCACGTCGACACCTTCCAGTGAAAATCCGAACAAATTCCAGGACATCCCAAGGGACTCCCCGAAGTATGCGGTGCGCAGTGCCTTGGATGCTCGCTTTTGGCGCCGAACTGTTTGCGCGAAGAACAAAGTTTAGATTTGGAGCGATTTTGGGAGCGTGGATGTTTTGCTCATTTCATCAGGATGGCAATGAACTGCTGTAATTGAAGAGTTTGAAGAGTTTCGTCTTCGTTTTCAGTGGTGGAAAGCAAATGCGATAGTCAATGATCAGATTCGTCGATATTCATCAGATCAGGTGGTGTCAGTTGGGGAAAGATCACTCGCACGGAACCTGAAGTTAGGCATTGACTTGCCCAGAGTTCTAAGGTGATTGTTGTGGGGGTTGGACTCGAGCGCAGCCGTACAATGAACGGTCAGACACAGGATTGTCAGAGAAGTCGAATAGATGAGGAATGCCTACCACTTCCTTCGTTTTATCAAACAGTGTTTGTCTTCGACAGTGCCTGCTGAAGTGCTGTATGCAGAGGAGCACCTCACACGTTTGAAGAGAGCATGTTATTTCTTTTGGAGCGGTGAACAGTCCTTTGACATCCTTTGACATGCCAAAACCTCGGAGGTCGCAGGTCACGTGTTTTGGTCGCTGCTGTTGCAACCTTCTTGCATTAATGTTGATGGTTGATGAAGAACACCTCCTACCAGAATGGCTTTCCATCTCCATATGAAGGGGCTTATTAATTACTTATCAATCAATCAGTCTATACATTACACCCTTCTTCTAACTTTTGATCACATCAATGTTTCTTGCACAATGGGCCAACTAGATTCCAGACTTCTTTGCAAGCCATGGACTCCAAATCCCCAGCCAAGCATCATCATCATCATCATCATCATCATCATCATCAGCCTTTGGAATCACTTCAGGTCCCGGCCAAGCTTAGCTCCTCTCTTCACCACTTGACCGGGACCCAGACGACCGGCAGGTCCTGGTGCTCGGGACGAAGCGCTCGGCGAGCTGTCGGGAGACCCGGGTCGAAACCACGGTCCACTCGATCCGCGTCGAACGCCATCCGTCGGTGTTCGGAGATGAACGGCCCTGTTGGGAAAACGGTTGGGACATGTTGAGAGATGGGAACATGTCTGGGAATGATGAGAGATGAGAGATGTTGGGAATGACATCTCTGGCGGAAGGTTTTGGAGATGTCAAGTGACCGGTGAGATTCATGAGTTGTCCGTTCTCATGAGTTGGCGATAGCCGTAGCCCGTTTCGTTGCATCATATTGCATCTTTCTGAATTCAGCTTGCCGCTTTTCCAACGCCATCGGGAACAGTCTTTGCTGGTAGATCCTGGTCCTGTCCAGAAGCTTGGTCATTCGGGCATATTCGGGCTTCAGGATGCTTCAGGTATATATTGGCAGTGTGCCTTTGGATCCTGCCACCGCGGGGACCTCCTCTAGCTCACGAGTCTAGAAGCTGTACAAAATAAGACAGTCAGGTTATATGTTCATTTATCAAGACAGTTTATGTGTAATGCAGCCATGACTGGGCATGTTCACTTAATCTGGCAAGTACAGTTTTCTTTCCCACTATGTTTACTAGCTTTCCTTTAGCGGCTAAACATGTCATGTGGCCAACACCTTCCTTCGCCCTCGGTATGTTTGAGTATTTTAGATTATGATGGGACAGGATCTTGAATATGTTATGTGACGAGTATATCCACGGTATAGCACAACTGGTCAGCTGCAGTGATTTCATCACAAGATTTCTTGATTTGAGTCGGACCTGAGATTTTCCTCCCTCGTATCGCGGTGCTAGCGAAAGTTTCCATGAATCCCCTTTGCCTTCTTTTGGAGGAGTTCTTCCCTCCTGTCCTAGGTCCGTCCGTAGACCTTTCTTCAGACCAATCGAAGCTGCCGCATCTTCGTCCACGCGCGACGGACTCGAGGCGAAGTCGATCGACCTGGGTGGTCGCGGTGTTTGCCCCAGTGCAACGGCCGCGGTCGACGCAGGTGCCGCGGCCGCTTCGCTGGTGTTCTGTGTTTTCTTGGGGACTCGTGGGGTTTGGAACGATCTCGCCATTGGCTTCGACCGTGATGACAGCCACCGACACACTGTGTTGTGGAGGGCCCTGGCCGCACCCAGTGGCCAGTGGATCCTACCAGCAATGGTGTCTAGCTTTGTGTTGATGGTTGAAATATGTTGAAATCAACTGTAGGCTGTGGGGGTCATCATGGGTCATTGTAAACACTGCATGTCACTGAGGTCTCTACTGCGCCAGGTGCACTGGCAGCAAGCCAGGATCTTATATAAGGAGTTTAGCTTCTGTGGACGTGAATCCGTTGATCATTGTGTGAAGGTGTGCCTGAAGCCAGAGTCCTGTTGAGATGGACGTGCATGAGGTGTAAAAAACATAGTGTTTGGATGTGTTTGGACTCATGGCCACGTCACACTGTGTTTGAGAGACTGATCAACATTTTGCAAGTGTTCTTGTTGCGCGAGCAGACTTAGAAATACATTACTATGATATGTTTTGCTGCTGCTGCTGCTGCTTCTGCTGCTGCTGCTGCTGCTGGTGGTGGTTGCGTTCACCAGCTCCCAAAAGCCTTGACAGGCTTTCATCCATGAACTCACTTTGTTGAGCATGGAACGCATCAAAAACGACAGAAAACTGGAATGCTAGAAGAACACTTTGAGCGAATTGGTTGTAAATCCAAAGGAACCTGAAGATCGAAGCCCTAGCTGCCTTTGAATCACCCTGGCAGCCCTGAAGCTCTTCTCGGGTGGCACCCGACCTCGTTCACCTCCCAAAGACCCCTGGGTCCACTGAGATTTGTCCAACTCGGTCTCAGATGGTCCCGTTCCACCCATGCCAACCATTTGAAGCAAAAGGCTATGGCTATGGCTCAATCAAACCGGATCCCCGTAAACTTCCCCCAAGTCAAGAAAAAAGAAAGACATGAACAAAGGCACACCAACTCGGTCTCAGTCTTGCCTTGAACGGCGGCACCTCCCCACTCCTCGATCTGGGCTCCGCTCCGCCCTTCGAGGTGCGCCCTCGCCGGAACGGCACTTCCGCGCGAAGGCGGACGTGCCGCGGTGGGCGGTGCCGAGCGGCGAAGAGAATGAGGTGTTCCGAGTGACCGTGGATGGTTGAGGATGGTTGATATGAAGACTGGGTCGGCGACCTGAGACCAAAAGATCCAAAAGTTTGATGAAGGGAGGGCATTGCTCCTCAAGCTTGAGGAGGAAGGACAGGGCATGAAAAATGAAAGCAGACGGGAGCACCCCTCAACTTGGGTTGGGTGTGTGTATATATATATATACCTATAGACATAGACTCTAGACAGACTGCCTTTCGGGCCTTATTTTCCGCCTGAATGTGACAGCGGCTGTTTTTCCGAACTCGGGCGGACTTCCACAAGTCATGCGAAGTTCCAAGTTCAGGCGAATTTATGGAATCTTACATCTTCGCTTCTTACTGTTGGAGGTGTGATGTTGACATACCCCTTACCGGTAGTGTTTTTGCTGTTTGTTTCAAATCATTTGGCGATTCGTTGGGCTGTTTTATTTTTCGAGTCGGGCTATTTTTCGATATCACCAAAACCAGATTCGGGCGAATGTGTGCTGGAAACGGGCGAATATACGCGAGAAGCGGGCGAATATATGCAAACGACGCAAACCAACACTTTTCACGGATCAATGCTGGCTGATTTCAATTTCCAGGTTTCTATTTGTGAAACACTTTGTTTGGTTCAATCATGTTCTCTCTATATATATATATGGTTTATCTTCTCCAAGCTGTGTTGCTCATAGATTTGACCAAAGCAGCATTCGGGAGAAATTTTCAGACTCGAGCGAGTGTCCCAAACTCGGGCGAATATTTGTAGCAAAATCACAAATTACGGCCTGCGTGGCAGTCTTGGTATATAATATACAGTTATCAGTTGATAGTATAACCAAAGCGGAAAAAATGATGTTTGGGGATGCACCTAAAGATGCGTGGTTGTGTTAACATACCGTCTTTAAGACATACTCAAGCTTCCTCCAGACGCCCCTGCAGGCTGGGAACCTCACCCATGTTTAATCATGCTTATATAAGCATGCTTGCGCCAGATGCCTTGTTTGCATCGTTGGTTTTTTTCATTGTTTGTCTCGCACATCTTGAATGTCTCGCCCCAGTGATTCCCCGGTGGATCCGCTGGATCCGCGGAGGCGTCTGACCTTGGCCGAAAAGGAGGCGTCCAACGGGGTGACAGGGTCTCAGGCCTGCCAGGCCCAGGCGGGCGTCCAGTTGTGATTTGGACCCACACCTAGCTAGCCTAGCACTGGTCTTTTTCGTGCTTGGAAGATGATGGTACCTCCCCAAATGACACACAACCCATGCAAACAGAATTCATTAGACTGTATGGACTTGTCACAACTTCTGTGCACGTTCAGCGCATGAAGTCGTGCTCGTTGGACTCGATGCCACAGTGACCACGACGGTGGATTGTTTTGGGTGCCTCCGTGGGGTGCATGTGGCCAGTTGCTGAGGGTGAAAACGATTAATGTGCCATGTCATTTCAGCCATTCATCTACAGTATCATACTTTAGCATACTTTAGCCATTGATTTTGGTTTTGGCCAGTTGCTTTAGCATACTTTAGCCACTCATTTTGACCTCATATCTGGTTACGTCAATGTTGTCATCCATTCAAGCGGGACAAAGAGTTGGAAGTTTTCTCAGAAATGAACTCACTAAATTTGACCTTCTGACCTTCAGAGTGGGCTCTACAAGATTCATTCAAACATGTTAAACAAAAACAATTAACATGTACTGTAGACAAAACATATATAGGTTTGGTTTGTTTTTTGGCCGGATCTCCCCAAACCAACAGATTTCCCAGGCCGGCCACAAGTGCGGGACTCCAACAGAAGCCCTGCCATTCGGCAAGGAAGGTGCTTGTCCTTTGCGGGATTCAAGCAGCATCTCGAGATTGCAATCTACACAGTTTCAGATTGATACATGTTTTGTTAGATGATACCGATGCTGTGATTGTACACATGTAACTACTACTGTATTGGATAGACATGGATAGACATAAACTAGAATAAACTGCACACATACTGATGATATGTTTGATGGTGCAGTCAAGTTCAAACGGCGTCAGATAAACTAATAAACTCATGACTCATGTTTGTACAGTCACTCTTTTTGCTTCCCCGCGGGCAGTGAGCAACGAACTTATAGAAGCTGTGAAAAGCATCGGCAGCCAGGGTGCAGCCCAAGCAAATGGCCACACAACGGCAGGCCGGGCTGCTGACACAAGAATCTTGAACGGTTCTGGTTGCTGCGCGCGTTGTTTTTTGAATGTAGGCTAGACGCAATGTATTTGCACAAACCACATTTGCAGCCTCAGTGCTGCGGCTTGGCTTCAGTCCTTTTGCCAAATCCACACGTGTCACTTCTCTTCGTTTGTAGATCCATGTGAAGATTCTGCTGAGTCATTGTATATGAAAAGGCATCGCAACATCCCCATCTAAAAAGGGCACGGCATGTAGTTATTGGACACATAAACTATAGATTTGTCTACTCACTCAGCAGTTGATTGGTCGACCAGAAGCCTCATCTTCTTGGCACAGCTGAAGTCAAAACGTGCAATGCCCAGGCCAAGGCTCCAACCAAAGGCGTGGTATGCTGTGCCGGTGACGGCAGCCGAAATAGGAAGGAATTCGATTGAAACGTGTTGAAACCGGTCGTGGAAAAAGACACCTCCACGACCGAGCTGTCTAAACAGCCTCATGTCAGAAACACAACCGCAATCACAAACACAACCACAAACACACGGCCACAATCACAGCCACAACCACACAGCACACAACCACAACACACAGCCACAGCACATTACCATGACACGCAACCACAGCACATTACCAAATATAGGACCGGATAACCCCACATTGATGACAAGTGGTTGGTGACAAGTAGTTTAGCACGCAGATCACAGCGGCACAGCGGCGGAGACCCAGCAGCCCCAGCCAGCGCCAGGGCGTACATCCGACCCCCTGGAGAACACCAAAGTACGACGCCTGCCACGCAAATCACAGCAGCACAGCGAGGGCGGGAGGAGGCGGAGGGCGGGACGGTTACAACACAATTAAAACCCCACACGTCAATGTGGGGAGCAACGCGAAACCACAACACTCAAACACAGCCACAAAAACAAGTACAAGCACACAACTACAGCAATATATACTGGCATCTTGCGTGGCAGGTCATCACAGGATAGCACTTTTGGATGCTAGCTGGAAACCCTGGCGGCACCCCAACTCGAACTCCCTAACACAAATAGCAATCCCGAACACGAGGACCAACAAGCAAGCTCAAAATCCAGACCGTGGCAACATGCTCGTCACCACGGCATGAAAGCAAGTAGTTTAAATGTCATGGTGGGGATCACTCGAAGCAACATATATTTTCATTTTTGTCCTGCCATGACTCACGACCTGTGCCATGCCAGGCGGCGCGGGCGCTCCCCCGAAGTCGAGGCCATGGAAGTTGTTTCCGAAAAGTGGTGATTGGTGTTGGCTCGAGGTCTTTTAGGAGGGCGGCATCCAAGGGCTTTGCATCTTTTTTGGTGGCTTGTTGCTTGCAGCCATTGACATGTTCAAGAGTTTGGAGCATTTTATGATTTGATTAGACATGCTGGGTTGTCATAAGCATGGGTTCCCAAACCGTTTTAATTCTGCAGTATGTGGACAAATGGTGCAGTGTGATGGTGAAGTGGACATGTTTGGGGTGTTGACCTATACTTTTTTCCACAGTTTTATCAGTTTTAGGAAAACATTTCTGTATCATGCTAGGCCGGTTTCGAGGGTCCCAGTTGCGATGATCCAGTTCCGAGTTGAATAGAAATGTGGGGTGTCTCAGGACTTCAGAAGCACCCGTCCGTACTTTTGTGTGTTGATAGCCCTTGGGGGCCCTTGAAATCTCCTTGCAGAAATCTAGTTCACCTCTGGGGTGAGCGAAGTGCGGAGGCCAAGCGTGGCAAGCGTGGACTCTTCGCCTCAACTCGGCAAAGTGGAAGACTTGGGACTGGCAAGATCGGTGTGCAGAACCTATATAAAAGTTATAGTATATAAAGTATATATATATATGTACCTGGAGTCTCAGAGTACCTCGGAAAATGGGTACAAGTACATGTTTTTATGTGGTCATGTGCCATTTTCTAAGGTACTTTGGAGGGTCCAGGAATATGTGTTTTTTGGGGAGGGAGGGGGGTTATCATATACAAAGTGCCGAGCTGACGGGCACCCTTCAAGATTTATGAAGATTCTACTGTACATCATATAATCATAATTACTGTGAATCATCTTAATTTTCTTGTAAACTACCACTTAGCATCTCGAGAATTCCGACCACTCAGCATGATAGCCCGACACGTGTCTCGTTTTGGAGAAGACGTGTTCGTTCAGTGTTGCGAGTGTTTATCGAGTTTCCTCTTGGAACCTTGCGAATACCAAAGCATGAAATACCAGAACATGTGTTTTCGGTTGCTCCTACTGGCCACGAAGTTTGCTTCTAAAATATATTCTATATAATTGTGTGAAATCTCCTGGGTTTGGGATCCCGTTTTTCTTTTAACCTGACCCCCAAGGCAGCAGAGCGCCCGCTACTGATTGCGGAGGTCAGCATCTCTCAGGACCCACCTTGGGACCTTAAACACGTCGTTGTTTCCAACATCAGTCCCGCCCAGACCATGAGAACCTGTCGAATGCTTTCTTCTAACTGCCACCAGGATTTGCCTCACTGAAAACACCGATGTTTCTCAATGCAACTGCAACTGCTGCTATGCCTCAAGGGCATTGGATCACAGCGGGCCCGAACGATTCACCGAGGTCCGCAAGTTGCGCGATGTTCCGACCGATGCACCGCCACGCCCGTCCGGTGGATGGACGAAAATCCACACAAACCCTGAGGGTGTCCATTGAACCATTGAACCCTGTGGGTGTCCATGTCCCTTACGATATACAAAGAATTGAGACTCCTTTCAAGTGTCTACTCAGTGGCTTGTGCCATGTGTCTACTGCGACTTAACGCCTTTTTCGAGTTGCAGTCGCCTTGATGTGCTCGGATCAGTCGCCTGGATTTGACCAGTTTCATCCACTCTCTTGGGATGTCTTTCCATGTCTTTCCTTTTGGTCAAATTTGGTCCATCCTTTGTTCCGTTGAACCATTTTTGTCCTTTTTGTTGTGGTAGGATCTGCCACCTGCCAAGCTGGTGCTCTACGAGTGCGAGGATGTGGCTGAGGTGCTCGCAGTCAAGTGGGATGTAGGTGGTTCAGTGGGGGGCGGATACACTGCTGGTATGACAAGGAAGGATCCGAGGAAGTTTGGGGGGGGCAAAACACGTTTCCTTCATGTTGCCTTTGTGCAACAAGGATGCCTACTTTAGCAAGCCATGGCCAAATCGATTTTTGCGATGTAGACTTCAGGCCATTTGGTCAGGTCTGCCAGGAGTTGTTTGGTTGGTCCAAGTGAGGTATGTTTTTTTAAAGGTGTTCGATGTATTCACATGATCAAGAACACCCCTCAAATCACAAACCCACCTTCTAGGGCCAGTCGATCATGATGATTCCGTGAATTTGCTCAAGAGCCAAGGTGGCGGCCAACTTTGCCCGCGAGCATGCTTTGGCACCACACTTGGCAGAACGTCTCAGGAGGTGTGACGAAATGCGCGAAACTCGCGCACGAGCCCCGCCGAGGGCCGCGAAGCTCACACACGAAACGGACGCGGCATAGAGTGCATGGAGTGAACAGCAAGGCGCTCTCAGTCTGATGTTCCGTTTCGAACATGGTTGTGCTATAATGATCCCTGACATTGTGGTTGTGTTGGTTGATGGGTCAATTTGAGGGCGTTGTATACAACAGATGCGTTGGGGATGCTGCTCCCCTGCGATAGTCACTGAAACCCGCTTCATCAAGAGAATGGTTATTGCACTTGTTGTGTTTCGGCAAAGATCAATAGGCTAGGAACAGCACATCACGTACCAAAAAGGATGCCAAGTAAAGGAAATATATTAATAATATTAATACATGGAAAAGCCCTGTTGGATTCCATTGTGTGGATCAAGAGCTTACGTATGGTAGTGGTTTGTCCAATATAGACTTCGAGATCCTGCAGGTCCCCAGTATGATCCAAGCAGATGACGTAAAGGTGGGCGCTTGAGCCTCTGGGATGTGCCCACACTGCCGCCAGGGATTTAAGTGAGTTGTCCAAGAAGCACGCTCCGCCGGTGTGATGCATTTGAAGAAGGTTTGCAGCCTGGCATGGAACATGGCCCACATGTGCCCACATGGCGCAAAGAATGGCAACAGCGTGATGATGTTCCGGAACATATGGATCCTTTCTGGGGAACTTCCTGCATCTGTCTACAAGCTGTTTAGAGGATGCCAGATATGCCAGGTTTGCCAAAGTGCACCTTCGTTCAGACCGGCCCAAACTTTGAACCATGCCCAGATCAATGTTTCGTCGTGGCTTCTTCGCGCTTGCCCGCATGCTGGCAAGCTTTTTCAGCTGAACGCAGCTGCACTCCAAGCGGCGACAAGCTGTCTTTCTGCAACTCCAAGCCTTGCCGAAGATCGGTGTGTCAGATTGGAGCCTTCTCCTGCGGCTTGATCTCATCGTGCTTGGTTTGTATAGTGCAGAAGAGGTATAAGCGCACAAAACACTGTAGGTTTTCAGCCATACCCAAAGTATTGTGCTTTTGTGTGCCCTCGAGAAGGAAGAAAGTCGGAATTGAAGGATCCGCAAACTCAGGTTGTCTCAGAAGGAACATCCCCCAAACACGTTTGGCCCACGGAAAGTGAATCACACCAGTTGGCTGTGGGGCAGTGGGGGGTTCTTTTTGAGGCATCCACTTGCTAGTCAATGCCTTGTCAACTTCGATTGAAAATTGCACCTCTTGAGAGCTAGTGGACAAGAGCCTCCGGCATGAAGGGCTGTTTCTTAGTGGTTTTAACATGCTTCAGCCCCTTCTTGAAACCAATGATTGTGGATCCTAATGGATCAAGACTTGGGATGATATCCTTTTCATTCCCAGTTCGATCTTCGCTTCTCCACCCCACCCATGGTCAACCGTTTGTACCCCACGTTCGAGTCCACCCATGGTCAGTACTGTACCTCCGGTGAAAAAGTTCCATGCTTGGACCCCGGACATGTGGACCTGGGGGCATCTCAGAAACTATGTGGACTCGAAATATCTTTGTGGACGCGCCGGGAGGGAGGACTGGGGCAACCACGCGGTGGGATCCGTGGGGAGTGCTGACTCGGAAGGAATCCATCACAGGCGCATCTCGATGCGGTCATGGGAAGACCCCAAGTTTGGCCCTGATTGGCCCGTATAGACTTGGCTCAAGCCCCAGAGGGGCACCCACTGTGCCCACCCACATGGCGTCCAGGCTGGTGGGATGGGGTGGGTGGGATGGGGCGGAGGGGACTGGCGGACGTTGTTTCCCTTTTCCTTTGCTTTCATGTGTTTCGGTTTGAGACAATTTAAACATATTTAAACCGCATCAAAGCAAAGAAAGAACCACCCGAAAACCGAACTTCGTTGCATACCGATCTCCCATCCAAATGAGTTGGCGTAAACGACGCCCCTTGTCGGCCGGCAGACCTTGTCGGCTTTTCCACGTGTCGCCGAACTGCGTTGCGGGGGAAACGCTGTGATCGATGAATGAAACAAGTTCAAAGACTCCTGAGGTGAGTGGGGGAGACCTGACAAGCTTTGCAAGTACAGGGGCAGTGATGCCAGCATGAATGGACAGTGAGTGATATGTGTGAAACTCAAGTCAGGGTCTTTTGGCATGCACTGGGCCTTAGACCAAGCCCCATATCATATCCTTTGGGATGAGACTCGATCGAGGGGGGTGCAACCTGGACTGAAGTGGTGGTGAAGTAGCTTTTTGTTACACCTTCTTGTCACGATGACTACGTTCCCATGTACAATCCAAAGGCCGTCAAGAGGCTAAGTTCTTCTGACACGGAGAAGAACACTCTTTAGATCAGTCTACGGCCTAAGCACTTAGGCCCATGCGTCGCCATGGTGCAGCGCTCATGGTGCGCCCAGCCCGTCTTCCGTGGATTCCGTGGCTTCGGGGTTGTCACGAGATGCCCCTAATTGACAGATTGTTCATTAAACGGTCCAGCATTTTTTCTATGATGGTGCTTGAAGTAGAAAGACCAGCAAGCGTGAAGTTTGCTGAGTACGTGCTCTCCCTCCAAAGACTCAAGATTGTAATGTGTGATCTTAAATAGCATAAACATCCACCTTTCCTAGCAAACAATCGAGGGAGTCTAAATAGAAGCATTACCACCAAAGAAGTCGTCGTCGTCGTAGTAGTGGTGGTGGTGGTGGTGGTGGTGGTGGTGGTGGTGGTGGTGGTGGTGGTGGTGGTGGTGGTGGTGGTGGTATTAGTAGTTGTTGTAGTTGTTGTTGTTGTAGCAGCAGCAGTAGTAGTAGTACTAGTGGTAGTGGCTACTACTACCACTACTACTACCACCACCACCACCACGACTACTACTAGAAGTCGTCGTCGTAAACCTCAGAAGAGTCAAGCAAGGATCTTAAAGGGCAGCGACAACAGACAAATAGAAGTATATAATTGTTCAATATTTTCCTAGGGCTCCGTAGGGCTCCAAGTTTACTTATTAATCCAACTTTTGTATTATTCACTTAACCGGGGCTTGTGCGTTACCCCCTTGAAGAATTGTTTGGAGCAATGAAATGGATGAGTTCTAATGAAGGGTCTTTTTACAAAAGGCTTTCAGGTCAGAGTTCCATGAATCAAGCAAACCTTAGGAAGAGTTATGCAAGGATCTTAAAGGGCAGCAAGAGCAGAGCAATATAAAAGTAGTGTTCAATATTTTTCCTAGGGCTCCAAGTTTACTTATTAATCCCACCCCCTAAACAATTCATATTATTTACTTACCCGGGGGTTGTGCACTACCCCTGAAAAATTGCTTGGGGCACTGAAATGGATGCGTTTATAAGGGTTCTTTTGAAGGGTATTCAGGTCAGAGTTCTGCGAATCAAGCAAAACTCAGTAGTAGTAATAGTAGTAGTAGTAGTAGTCGTAGTGGTAGTGGTAGTGGTAGTGGTAGTGGTAGTGGTAGTGGTAGTGGTAGTGGTAGTAGTAGTAGTAGTAGTAGTAGTAGTAGTCGCAGTCGCAGTCGTAGTCGTAGTGGTAGTGGTACTACCAGGTAGTGGTGGTACTAGTACTAGTACTAGTGCTGTGGTAGTTGTGATAGCAGCAGCAGCAGCAGTAGTGTTTGGTACTCGTTCTAGTTAAGCCAGGATTTGAAAGGGCAACAATAGCAGAAGAATTGAAAAATCACGGGTGATTGGTTTGAGGTGTGGGAATAATTTGGCGAAAACTTCCTATTATTCCCTCCCATTAGACTAATTGGGATCTAGCATTGCTACTGTCCAGCTAATTATGTATAGTCCAGGCATAGGTCACAGAGATTGTCTACCAGTAGTGCTCACAGAACTTTCGGGCATATTCTTTGTGTCGGAAGCCTTGGCCATTTTGGTCCTGTAGCTGATGAAGGTTTTCTGACCTCACTTCCTTCGCTGGGCTGCATTCTCCTTTACGAGGCTTGCTTCGTCGGGCTGCTCGCAGTACCTTTGAGGCACCCGAGCACATTGGTGCAGGGGAAGTGAGAAACAGAACACCATGCAAACCATACCAAGATCACCTTTGCATGAAGGTAGAATATGTTGAAAGTGTAGCATCATCCTTTTTGATCAAGTCCTTGCATGTATAAGAAATCCCAAATTACGATATTACAATTGTCGCCTAGTGGCTTCGTGTTGTTGTTGTTGTTGTTGTTGTTGTTGTTGTTGTTGTTGTTCTTGTTCTTGTTCTTGTTCTTGTTCTTGTTGTTGTCAATGACATATCAGTAGTTTATTCATCCTTGATTCTGATTCATTTCTTTGCACGTACTCGTAGTTCATTTCTTTCTTGGATACGATTCAGGCAAGGGAAAATGGACACAATGGAAGAACTATATCAATCCGTTAAAAGCCAGGCAATGTTCCATGCCTGTGGCCTCGCTAGTTGTTTGTCAAATATGGCGACCTGATTCTTGCCCTTCTAGGGATGTTGCTTTAGCGTGAAAACAAAGCTCCCAACATTCATTCACTTCAATGTGGAAGTTCTCGTGCTTTTCCGAAGAGCAGAGTCCTGATACAAACCATCTCGCAGATCAATGAAACGTGATGTACGCTGTGCCGGTCACCCCCTATTAGAGTCCCATGGGATCCCATGGGTCACAGAGGGTTGAACTCATGCAATGATGACAGCTCAGATTGTTGTTCTTTTTCCCTTCATGCCAGGTGAGGGTTCTTCCCCACCTGCCAGGTTAGGGTTGTTGGATTTTCAGACCTGACCTCCTCATCTCCTCTTCTCGTCTCCCTGCCTCCTCCACAAGTACCAGATCGCAGTGGGCACCACCGGACTTCAACCACGAGTGCCAGCTGGACCTCAACCACCAGTGCCAGCCCGCAATGGGCACCACCAGACCTCAACCGCAAGCGCTAGATCGCAGCAGAACACAATTTCCCAACCTTTATGACTAATGATGCGTCAGAAAAGATACCAGACTTGATGCCAGATCACGCATCAGAAGATATGTGTCAATCTACATGCCAGGCCGTGGTGGTCAGGTTGGCCTCCCTGGTGCCATACAACTCACTCACATGGAAGTAGAAATGACACCTGGATGACTCTTTTCCTTGGCGAACATGATCATGTCCATGTCTATGTTCGTGGACCAGAGTGTAGTGTACACCTGTCTATACTTCAAGTAGTACTTCCAGCCTACCTCCATGTTCGACTCGTCGGTCTTCCGCCCACGATGCCAGTTTCGTGGGCTTCACGGGTGTGCGCCCAGTGCGTGCTCCGCTGGGGTGCCCAACTCTCGCGGTGTCGTGCGACGAGTCGGAATCGGGGAAAAATAGTGTTGATGATGTACACATATCTTATACCAGTATACTACACATCATTTTACCAAATAAAAAGCAAATATCCAAATACGAATCCAATTGAGCCCACATCAAATGTAATGCCAAGTCTGGATTCGGATTGTTCTTTTGTTTGCAGGTCCAAAACCCAAAGTAAAACAATTGTGCCCCGGCTTGATGGTCGTCTCTGAGGTGGCTCATGACATCGCAAAAACCACGCGGGCTCACATCAAAAGGGAGTTCCAAACACTCCCTAAAGTGCACATGTTTTCCTTTGGGGTTCTGCGTGTGATGGTCCCTGAAGCCATGCGACCTGATCAAATTAC